GGCAAATCCACTGTTGCAGATGGTCTGGAACGCATTGGGAAGGTGAAAAAACTCGACAATTGGGTGCCCCACAATCGGAGTGACCGGCAGGAATCGGCACGTCTCGTTCCTTCTTCACTGCTTTGCGCGAGCCAAAACGAAACTGGTTTTTTTGGACCGAATTGTCACCGTGGTGTGATGAAAAATGGATCATGTATGATAACAGGAGACGTTCCGGACAGTGGTTGGATTTGGAGGAACCACCGAGGTAATTTTCAAAGCCGAACCCTCACGAAAAAAAGATTCTGGTCACGGCTTGGTGGTCATCGGCTGGTGTGATCCACTATAACTTTTTATCACCAGGCCAAACCATCACAGCAGAACCCTACTGTGAAGAAATCGACGAATTGTACCGAAAATTTTGTCAGATGCAGCCAACACTTATCAAAAGAAAGGGTCCGATTCCTTTGCATGACAACGCCCGCCCACACGTTTCACAAATCACTATCCATAAATTGAACGAATTGGGGGTTGAAGTTCTACCTCAACCGCCATATTCTTCAGACCTTTCGCCAATCGACTATCACCTTTTCTAACATTTTCAGAACTCCCTTGCTGGAAAATACTTCATCAATCAGGACCAGGCAAAAAAGCCTTCGTGGATTTCGTGAATTTCTCGACCACCCAGTTTTTTACTTTGATGGGATTTCTCGACTGCTGTCACATTGGCAAAAGTGTGCTGATTCGAATGGTGCCTATTTCGATTAAATCCGATGAGTATTAAAAAAGTTACGATCGTTTAAAGCGCTGAGAACTTTCCGGACAACCTAATAGCAACAATTTATTACGGATAAACAACACAAAAAAGCTTCTCAGTTTCTCAGAGAGAGGCATATCCTAAGAAAAGAGAAAGAACACGATTAGATCCTGGGAGGTGACCCTCCAGACACGACCGGAACGAAGAACAAAAAAACAGAAAAGAACTCCTTGAGTGACTCGCTATGACGGCTAAATAGGCTGCCTGCCGCGTGTTCCCGCGCAATCTAAAGAAGATCAATTAATTCGACCGACGATCTGCTAATCTAAACAAAATGACATTCATACACTCTGCTCACAACCCCTGGTTTTTAGGAGAGTGGTCCGCTTGTGTCATCGACCTTCTGCGCTTGGTGTCCATAAAACTTTCGCGACTGGCTCATTTCCTGCTTGTGGACTTCGAAAACATGGGGTTTTCATACCCTCTCGCTTCGGTTAGTGGTTCTGGCCACGATGGTGCCCAATATTTTGTCACTTTTCGATATCAGATTCTTATTTTGAAACAGCCAATAGTGCCGAGACATATAAGGGTCGCTGCCTAGGCAGCGAATGGGATTGTCCCATTGGGCAGGTGGGGCCTCATTCCGAGCCAGATATCCATCAATTTGGTCGTTGATTGGACGATGTCCGATATGTTGTTTGCCGTCTGTTCCCACAGACGAATATTTTCCTCCTGTGCTCGAGTTGTGCTCGCGCGGAGGCGATGCCTATAGCAAGGTTATGTCTCGGCACCTTAGACTTTCCAGCCACGGTCGCATCAGGGTTAGTGCGTTTTCCTTATTTGTGAATGTCTTTCCTACGATCAGCAGGAGGTCATTCCTGTCCTCTGGGGTTCGCAGGTTGTTGCTGTCGTAGGCACAACATTTGACATGGCCCGGCATCCATCTCAGGAGGTGTTCCAGGTTCGCCGGGACCATGATTGTCTGCAGACGACGGGGCTTCTGCCAAAGGCGTTCCCAGTTCTTGCCACGAATCATACTCATGGCGGATCGGAAGATCGAGCTGATTTGCTTACGCGTGGGCCCGATACGAATGTATTCATGGTAATAGTCACCTGGCTCCAGTTTTTCTTCACTTAACTGGAAGTGCAAACAGTGTTCTCTGTAAAACAATAGGGCCACGGCCAAGGCTTCTGCTGAAAAGTCGTTGGCTCTTTTCGCCATGAGCACTAATTTTTCTCTTTCTGAAAGGTCGTCCTTCAGCCAGATTTCCACGAGCTGTGCCAGTTGGCAGACATTTTCGAATTTTATGTTCTGCATGTGGTTTGGCAGTCCTTTCAGTACTCGATCCAGACGCATCAGTTGTCCATCCTCTGCTAGCAGCGGACACGGCACGTTTAAGCGAAATCCGTTGAAATTTCCGGGCGGCTTCGCAAGCGCCTTTACACTGAACGAGAAGTTCACATGTAGCGGATGTGCGGTGTCTTCCGCCATGATCAATTGCTTCGGGTGGCTCCTGAAACAACACTCATCACTATGATAACATTGTGTACTACAGCTGAAAATTTTTCTTCCTAGTTCTTCTCTTAGTTCTCGTTTCTAGAGGTGTATCATCTATGTAAGCAGGTACCTCTGCGGAGCAAGTCGTGCTGTACTCTTATGGGATCGGACTTTTCACCTATTTCTGTTATTAGCGCAGAGTTCTCGCTAGTCTCTATAACGCGATATGGTCCCGCCCATTCGTGAATTAGTTTTGGATGCTCCGATTTGCTTTTCTCGGTAGGCATTTTTGAACACTCTCTCTCCTACACTGGGGAGCTTATCTGGCTTGACATCTGGCCGTTTATCATAATATGTTTTCATCTGATTTCTGTATCTTTGGGCATTTTCTCTTATGAGCTCCTGCGTTAGCTTCATTCCTGCCATAAGATCAGCCTTATAGTTGTCTATGTCTATGCGATATGGTGATACTTCACTAGATGGTATCACGCTCGAGGGATATACAGGGTCGAACCCGTGCAAAACAAAAAATGGGCTCTCCCGTAGCGGTATGTGGGCTTACGTTATACGCATAAGTGACATTGGGAACTATTCTGTCCCATTCTGCTGTTATCCCTCCCCTTTTCTTCAGCATTCTTAAGAGGGTTTGATTCGCTCTTTCAGTAACTCCGTTTCGCGGGGGTTATATCCCTTCGTAAAGGTCTGCGATATTCCTGAAACCTCACAAAGTGCCTCCATCACACTATTCTCGAACTCTTTCCCTCGATCCGACAGTATGGTTTTCGGCCATCTGCCTCCTTCGCAGATCCACCTGCCAAATAACAGTCTAGCTATGTCTTCTGCGGTTTTTAGGTGTTGGATACGCCGCCAGCCATTTCGAGAAGTGGTCGATGACCACGACTAGGTACCTGTTACCGCTTGACGACAGTCCAACTTCCAACACGTCCACCCCTACCACTTCGAACGGCCTCATTATCTGTAGAGCTTTGAGAGGGGGTACATAGTCTTTTCGGTTGTTCGTCAAAAAACAATCGCGGCATTGTTTACACCACAGAGCGATATCTTGACGCATTCCTTCCCAGAATACCACCTTTTTCAGTCTCTGGAAAATTTTGCGTGCATTAAAGTGCCCTGATAGCACTCCTGCGTGTGCTTCTTCGAAGATTGCGCGTCTGCGTGAGTGTGGTACTACCTTTCGCTGTAGTACCGTCCTCCAGGATCAAGACACAGGTTGTTGCGGTCGATACAGAAGTCGGCTATACGGAGCGGTCTCTCCTGTCGCGGTAACCTCACTTCTTCACAGAGCTTACCCTCCTTAATCTTAGCTATCACTGCGCCGTACTCTGGATCCTGTTGGAGTTCTTCCAACCAGTTTTCACCCACTTCTGCGGAGTTTACGACTTTTACCTGTTCCGCGTTATCTTGTGGATCAGCCGCGATTTCTGTTAGTCCTCTTGATATGCGTCGGCCACTTTATTGGCCTCCCCTTTTACGTATTCGATCTCGAGTTGGATACGACTGCACTTCAAGGGCCCACCTTATCACCCTTGGTGACACATTAGACCTCTTAAAAAGGGTCGTGAGTGGCTGGTGGTTGTCCGCACTATGGTTTTCACTCCATACACGAAAAAATGGAATTTTTTCAATGCGAACACAATGGCTAGCGCTTCCAAGTCAGTGATGTGATAGCGCTCCTCAGCTCGGGACAGCCGCTTCGATGCGAAAGTACAATGGGTGAATCATTTTGTCGTCGCCTTCTTGGCAGAGAACAGCGCCTACTCCACTCGTACTGGCATCAGTATAATTATGTATGGCCGTTCTCCCGATCGAGCCGCTTCTACATTCGGTTGACCCAGTACCGGCGTCCTTATGATCGTGTTTTTCAGGTTGTCGAAGGCTCGATCGTGTTCTGTTTTCCAACCGAATGGCGCACGCGAGCCCGTCAGCTCAAAGAGACCTCGCAATCTTCAACAAATGAACGTTCTGTAGTAACCGCACATGACGAGAAAAGTGCGTAGTTCCGCAGTGTTAGTAGGTCGTGGGTAATTTTTAACTTTTTCGACCTTCTCTGGATCCGTCTTTACGCCGGCTTCATCAAGGACATGTCCAAGGAACGCTACTTCGCTTTCTAGCAGCGTGCACTTCCTCGACTTGAGCTTTAGGTTAGCTTTCCGGAAAGCGATGAACACTTTCCTGAGCACCTCGAGATGTCGCTTCTCGCTCCCTGTTGCGACTTGTACATCGTCGATATACACGAAAACTTCATCTCCCTTTAGCTCGGCTAACACCATGTCCATTAGCCTTTGGAACACGGCTGGCGATGTGCTTAATCCGAATGGCAGTACCTTGAATTCAAACAGACCCTCCGGGGTTGTAAACGCGCTTTTCCTTTGTGCATCTTTGCTTAGTTTTACTTGCCAATAACCGGAAGTCATGTCGAGGGTGCTGAAATATTTCTTGCCGGTTAGGCTTTGTAGGGTATCGATCGTGGGCAACGGGTAGGAGTCTTGGCGCGTGTATTTGTTGAGTACTCTGTAGTCAACACAGAGTCTCAGCGATTTATCTTTCTTCTGTAGTAGTACAACAGGGGATGCCCAATCTGATGCCGACTTTGCTATGACCCCTCTAGCCTCCAGGTCACTCAATATGGCTTTGAATTCCGGTTGGACCCCTCGTGGTACCGGCCGCACCTTTTGCTTTATTGGCTTTGTGTCCCCGGTATCTATGTCGTGTTGCACCAGATCTGTTTGGGTGAGCTCGTGATCACTAATTGCAAACACGTCTGCGAATTCGTAGATTAGTGCTCTCAGTTCCTGAGAAAATTCTTCCGACCTCCTGTTTGCCCTTAGGTGCGTCAGCAGAGTTTCCATCCTTTCCTTCCGCAGCGAAACTTTTTGCTAATTCAAGCATATCTGACTTTATATCCGTAACTCGTGGGTCAATCAAATAATGTTGCCACCATTCTCCAATTGTTTGTCCTTGCTTGAAAACAACCGGCTCATCGGAGTTGTTCAGTACTGGTATCTCTGCAACACCTTCTGTTGAGACAGAACATACTAGTCTATCAATTCAGTGTGCGACCAAAGCACTGCATCTTCTGCTCTGTGTTCCCATTTCACATGGATCACGCCGCTGTCCTGGTTTCAAATACAGTCTCCGCCACGACAGCTCTAACCATTCCCTGTGAAGCGCTATATTCTTGACACAGTCTTGTTCCTGCATGTCCTTCAGTACATGTTTCGTTTGGTATTCCGCTTCCGGGTGTGGCGATATGAGAATTTGGACGCCTAGCGCCTCTGGCTTCTAAGAGTATGACATCTTCCCTAAGTCGCTTCACGTGCATTTGGACAATGCTTTTCTTTCCCCCCTATAAGCTCCACCTCCGTTTCCATACACCCTAGGAAATTCATTTGATTTCCCGATGCGTCAAAGACTTCTAACTTTCTGGCCTTGATTTCCTTGCAGAGATTGTCCACATCGACACCCTTTTCTTTAGCCTTTAAGAGAAAATTCAATGGCATGATCGTTAGTTGCGATCCCGTATCGATTATGCCACGGGTCTCTAGCCCTAGGCACAACAGTTTCACTATGTGCTTTGGAACAAGACTGCTCCGTTTGATATTTTGTGTGCTTGTTGTACTCGCATTGCAGGACCATCCTCTTAGCGTAGCACTAAAAGAATTACTAGCTTCTTTCCTACTCTTCTTTGACCAACATTCTTCCGTGTTATGGCCTTTCTTTCCGCATTTTCCACACTTGGTTGAGGTTGGTTTGTTTTCGTCTATCTTAAATTGTTGGCTTCTGGGCTTTATATTAAGGGTCTCGTCAACTCCCTGCCCTTAGTCTCAGAGTCTTGGTGTGATGCCGGCTTAGAGGTCGCGGCTTGGCGTGGTCCTCCTCCAAACCTACCCTACTTGTCTGTTTTCCTACAGTCAGACTCCTGTCGCTGTTTGCGTAAGTGCTCTATGCGTAGCGCCGCATCTTTAAAACGCTCATAGACATGGCGCGTGTCCTCTTTGGCGAGCATTTCAGACAAGTGGTACGCCTCCGGCCAGTCACGGAGTTGCTCGTGCGAAAATTTCGCTCGGATAAAGCTCGAGTGCTGCCTGGTCACAGTTTGGATGGGCCTTTGCAGAGAGAAGCTCCAGCTCGAGACAGAATTGTATAACCGACTGGCGCTCCTTTTTCCTAAGCATTCGCATAGCTCTGAGTGCCTCAGCCTGAGATTCCTGATTTTCCATTCGTATGCGGGTTTTCAACTCTTGCACTACGGTGTCAAGGGAGCCATTTTTGATTTCATCGGGCAAAGTATTATACTGCAGTTTTGCTTCGCCTCCTAAGTACCCTGCTAGGATCTCCTTACGATCCCCCTCGTTATATGCTCTGCGCGGGTACTTAAGATTAAAGGCCCTTAAAAAATCTTCAAATTTTTGCCCGCCTTCATTGTTAAAAGGTTTAACATCTGGCATTGCTAAAGAACGAAAAAAATTTCTCATAGTACTCTCTTCCAGATGTCCATCTAATAATCTACTTTGATCTCTCTCTGCTCCTATAGTGTCAGAGAACTCTACATTGGACTGACCTGCTAGTCCATTCGGCGAAGACTGGGTCGTCCTTTGTTTCGACGAGTTCACCTTTCCCATCGACTGAAATGTTACTTGTGCTGTTTCATGATCGCTATCATTATTATCTGAGCTTAGCAAGTCCTCATGTGCATTAGACTCACCCTCCATTCGGGTGTAGCTGGATCCATAGAGCTCTTCACGGCGCTTTTCCATGAACTTCTTGCGCAGTCTAGCATTTTCAATCTGTAAATTGTTCAATCTGTCACTGTTCTCCATAGTTACTCGGACAAGATCACATGGTGTACAATCCTGAATGTCACACAGCGTTTCTATTATACTATCATTTCTTACTGCCGTATTGGACTCATCTGATTGGGTTAGCCCCTCTATCAGGTCTAAAATAACCTCAATCCTATTCACTGATTGTTTCCGACACGGCAGTACGTCTCTCATCGGACGTAGTAAAAAACTGAGCTGAAGTCATATCACTGTGCGTTGCAACCGCTTTTATCTCTTTTCTCACAAGCCCCAAAAGTTTCTGCCTACTTACCGGCTTTTTAACTCGGTCGGGTTGTTGGTTATGTCGGTGACAGTTAGATTTAATATCTGCGTCACCACTTCAGGCTCTTCTTGGGGGGTTCGGTCCTGTTTCCATGGTGCAATCCACGAGAACCACGTCTTATTGGGTTTTCTGAACAAAGCGGATACAGTACAAACGGATCTCCGATCGATCGAGCGCACTAGTAGGCCGGCTTGGCCCCCAAGTAAGGATTTCGCAACGAAAAAAAGAAGAATCCTAGTCAAGTACTGGCGGTGTTTACCCGCTCCTCTCCACTAGTGCGAGTGACAGGATATAGAAACAAATTTATTACGACAAACAACAAAAAAAGAAGGTTCTAGACTTCGCAGAGATCCTAGGAATAAAAAAAACCAATGTGTTGATATCGGGGAGGTGACCCTCCAGCGACCAGGCGAGCAGCAAAAAAAGACCAATAAAAATTAGGAGAACTCCTTGGGCGCCTCGTGACGACAGCTAAATAGGCAGCCTGCCGCGTGATCCCGCGCAATCTAAAGAAGATCAATTAATTCGATCTGCGATCTGCTAATCCAGACAAAAATGACATTCATACGCTCTGCTCACAG